CTACAGTACTATAAAAATTTTAAACAATTATTGCATTTAATGCCACCAACCGAATCTTATGTTTTTTTCCATCGCAAACAGTTTAAACAATTCTAAGACACCTTTCTTCTATGACGTTTATCTCGCAAACGACCTAGAACCAAGATATTTAATATGCCCAGTTATGAAGTTAGGTACGGTTAGGTAGGTGCTATTAACCATGTATTACTAATTATGTCATCGTAATCAAGCATATTAAATATTTCAGTTGGTGGCAAAAATTCAATAAAAGCTTTTCCAGTCTTGTAACTCCTGATATCTGGTTATCAGCAGGAGCACCAAAAGTTCCATGATGAAGATTGTCTTGTTTTGGTCTTTATTTATCATTAGAAAAAAAAAAATAATTCCATTATCAAATTATTCTATGTCCTCTACTATAAATTGGAGCTATCAACCAATAATTACTAATGAAGTTACCGGTATCCTAACCAACCCAACTTCCAAAGAAGGGGCAGACCCCCAGCACATTAAATTCTGAACAGTACCTCAGTTATAGGTCATTTGCGAGGGTAATGACAGAGAACAGTGTTTCTTAGAATTATCTTAAATATTGTTTGCAGAACTAAAATTCCCAAGATTCTATTGGTGGCAACAAATGCAATAATACCTGATTTTCTGATTTCACCTCACAATATCTTGGTTATGGGTAAAATGCACCAAAAGTGTCATTGAAGAAAATGGACTTGTTTTTGTCTGAAATTATCATTACATAAAAAAACTACATTATATCTAACCAGGAGCAAACTCATTGCAATGGTTTTAAATTAGACAAATTTAGATTTAGGCACGAGATAGGTAAACATTGGTTTGGAAATAGAATAGTGGATGAGTGGAACAAGTTACCAAAATCATCATTAACTCAAAATACACTGGATAGCTTCAAACATAGGTTGGATGGATACATGAGCGATATGGGATGGGTGTAAAAGGGACTGCCCAGTATGGGCCAATAGGCCCGCTGCAGTTTCCTCCATTCTTATGTTCTTATGTATGTTCTTCGTTTCTGGTGCTAACTGCCCCAACCTAACCTCGGAGCCTTCCTCAGTGTTAATCACGTTCTTATCTTAGAGGCTGGGGTCAATTTGGGATAGTAGCCAGGTTTAGGTTATGTTAGGGAGGTTAGCACTAGAAAAAAGGTCAGATTCGTTTTAATCACAAGAACCATAGGAAAAACTTTTATTAATAAAAACTTGGCTACTATCATAAACTGTCCATTTGTTTAATAAGGCAGGGGGTCCGGGGGGCCCCAGCCACGAAGATAGGTAAGGTTAGGTAGGTTTCTTTAGTTTGTTAGGCCAGGTTCTATTAGGTTCTAGTAAATGTTGCCTCTTAAAATATTTACTATAATGATAAGAACATCTGTAGAAATTTTTGGGGTAAAATTGTTGTTTCGGTCATCCACCTACAGGTACTCCTCATCTTACGACAACCCGGACATACGACCGCCATGGTCGTATAAAATAATTTTTCAAATTACATATTTTCGAGTCATGACGTTAGTGATCGCGCTGTGTACTGACAAAACTTTTGTTTGTAATTCCTTTTAAAATGGCCGGCAAGCGTAAAAGTGAGAGTTGTCGTGGTGCTGAGAAGAAAAAGAGACACCCATTTTAGAATTTTTATGTATTGTTTTCGCCTATTCGACTTACGACCTGGTCATCGTGACGGAACCCCGTCGTAATTCGGGGAGAGTGTATTTGGATGTTGTTCAAAACAACTAAAAAAAAACATTGGAAAAACATAATTTCAACCAAACCAAACATATCATAAACTTAAAATCCTAAAATTCACTGAATGACTGAAACAATAATACCAATCCCAAATTTTAACTAAATCAATCAGTCAATATTTAGAAAATGACACCAGGCAACTGAATATTGAGTCATTGGGGAGATAGTAAATTTTATTTAATAATTCTAGAATGTTTCCGTCGGAAATTTTTAGGTTTTGAGTAAAAGTTAAAAAAAAGAGAGTAAAGTATAATATTTGGCCAATCAGCATGAGTGTTGATGGCATGTCATAGTTGTGCTTGCCAATCAGAGTGAGTACTGGTGTGAGGTAATACTCATGCACTAATCAGAGTTTGCGACCATTTGGAAGATAGTGTCTGTGTGAGATGGATGTACATTGGCTGGCTGCCGCATTATTCAGCGCATTTTGGACAATGAAGCAGCAGCCGTTGTCATTTTTAGAGCTCACAATGTTTTTGTTTCATCTGTAAAGTGTCCGAGATGTAATTCAGTGTCAATACCGTGTAGATCATCATGCATGGTACTGTGATAAGAGACGGACACTGACGGCCACTTCCTCATTCAGGTAGCATCACCTTTTTCCTCCTATATCTCTTACTTAAGTGAGATGATTGCAGGCATATTAACATGTTTTTAGTTTTTTTAATATTTAATAAATTGTGTGAGATGCTTGTTTGAGTAATAATTTTTTTTTTGTCTTTAATAAATTGTCTTGCATGATCCAATGTATTGTTATGCCGAGGCATAATTTTGTGATGCAATTTTGTAAACTAGGTGTTTTGATTATTTTCTAACCCAAGCCCCAAAGATAAATGTCAGAATCATCTAAAACAGCAAGAACACTAGCAAAAAACTTAAATTTTTGTGTCAAAAAAGGTGATGGGTGAATAAAAAAAAATTACCCAGGTGAGTTTATGTTAGGTTAATGTTTTTGAGTCTTTTTAGGTTTTTACATTGTTTGGCCTTCCACTTTTTTCCCCAATATCTCAACTACTGCTCATTTCCAACGGCAATGAAGGTCATATTTATACTTAACGTGATTTACACAAAAAATTTTGTTTCCAATATTCAGTTGTCTGGTGTCATTTTCTAAGTATTGAACCAATCAATCAACTCATTCTGGTGGTACTGGTGTTCTCATACAATACCAAAACTTATACAGCTATAATGTAACTGTATCTGGTACTTCAGGAAATTCCCGGATACCCTAAATGTCAATAAAGGAGCATGTGATGTTTTGCCCGTTAAATATAAATTTACCATACAGAATTACCTAAATATCTTGGTAATTATATAGGACCAGCCCGCAAGCGAAATTGATTGAAAACAATTACAAAAATGCCGGATTTTCATTGTTATATTATAGTGGACACTTGTAGTTTGTGGAAATATGTTAAAAAATTAATATTTTTTAAATAAACACTACTTAACATTTGTGGGTATGAAGAACAGACCTAACCAACCAAACCTACCTAACTTCCCTGGTATATTAAACAGATAGAACTTACAATGATATGGTGAAATTTGAGGCATTTTCTGGACGTTAGATGATACGGCCGCATCTGCGCTATGCAGGCCTGGCAGGTCAGTCCTAAAGATTAACCAATATCCAATATCTTTAGTTACACTAATAGTCTAACATCAATTGTAGGCAAATTACTGGAAGCAATCATTTCAAACTCTATTCGAAAACACCTGGAGAAGCACAAGTTGATCAATGATTCCCAACATGGCTTCACAAACGGGTGTTCATGTCTAACTAATATATTAACATTCTTTTCATCTGTTTTCGAATCAGTGGACGAGGGGCACAATTATGATGTGGTACATCTCAACTTTAGGAAAGCCTTCGACAGTCCCCCACGAAAGACTAATAAGAAAAGTGGAGGCTCATGGCATTAATGGAGATATTCTAAAATGGATTAGGACGTGATTACAGGACAGGAAACAAAGAGTGAGCATTAACGGCACTAAATCCCATTGGAGCAACGTCACTAGTGGAGTTCCCCAAAGCTCAGTACTTGGACCATTATTATATATATATATATATATATATATATATATATATATATATATATATATATATATATATATATATATATATATATATATATATATATATATATATATATATATATATATATATATATATATTTAAGACATAGATATTGGCATAGACAGCAACATAAGTAAATTTGCTGATGACACTAAAATAAGGCGTGTAATTAAATCTGAAGATGATTCCGCAAAACTACAGGAAGATCTAAATAATTTTTTCAAATGGTCTGAAAAATGACAGATGAAATTCAATATGGACAAATGTAAAGAACTCAGTGTAGGAGATGTAAACAGGGAAACCAGATACCAGATGAACAACGATATTATTGAGAAATCCGACTGCGAGAAAAATTTAGGAGTAATGATAAGTAGGAATCTTAAGCCAAGTAAACAATATGTATTTGCTCGTAACAAGGCTAATAAAGTACTTGGGTTCATACAAAGGGGTGTTAGTTACAAGACTAGCGAGGTCATCCTAAAACTGTATCTTGCTCTTGTGAGACCACACCTGGATTACGCAGTTCAGTTCTGGTCACCGTATTACAGAATGGATATAGAATCCTTGGAAAGAATTCAGAGGAGAATGACAAGACTAATCCCGGGCATTAGGAACCTTGAGTATAGAGACAGGTTAAAGCATCTTAATTTGCACTCCCTCGAGAGACGTAGAGCGAGGGGCGACATGATAGAGGTGAATAAATGGAAGTCAGGGCTAAACAAAGGGGACATAACAAAGGTACTCAAACTATCCAACCAGGAGCGAACTCGTAACAATGGTTTTAAATTAGACAAATTTAGATTTAAGAGCGAAATGGGTAAACATTGGTTTGGAAACAGAGTAGTGGATGAATGGAACAAGTTACCAAATAACATCATTAACTCGAATACGCTGGATAGCTTCAAACATAGGTTGGATGGATATATGAGCAATAGGGGTTGGGTGTAAATGGGACTGCCAATAGGCCCGCTGTAGTTCCCTCCATTCATATGTTAAGCCACACTAATGGTCCACCAGCAAGTCTGTGGGTCATTGTCAATACCAACTAACTTCCCTATAATATAATGAATCTTGTTTAGTGGAGTAATTAGCGACTGATGAGGGGACGCGTGGTTGACTGTTTATGCCAACCACTGCTAACACTCATTACTCACCTAACACTTTCCACATCGCCATGTGAGTTTGTAAAAATCCTTCTTTGATGGCAGCAAGTACATCCTCGTCGTCGTCGGACCAAAAAGGACGAAGGCTAACAATATTATCCATCAAGTTATCTTTGGCGAAATGCGCTGCTTCTTTCCCGCCATGGCCATCGAAAATTCCAAAGAACGCGTATTCAATATCTTTCTTGTCATGTGTTCTCTGATAGGCCACTTGAAACTCATCTTCCATATACTTTCTGTCACCTTGGTGTAAATACGCTGAGGCCCGAAGGTTGACGCCAACACGACTGGCACTCGGCATGGTTCATGGAGTTGACTGCGTCCTCGCTGGGCACCATAACAGAGACCGTTCAGGCCTTCGAATGTGATTGGTGGAGCCCACGATGACGTCACGGAACAGTTCCAATAATGTTTCTGTCTTGGCGCTCCGAACGCGGCACAGTAATCAATCCCTCATGTAATATACAATAAACGTGTGCGAAAAGAACAATATGAATGCAGTTTTATTTTAAATTTGCTATGAAGTACTCTGATAACTATTTGGCCATTCCTAATAGGGTATAGCATTACGTCAGACATTCAACTTTCACTGTAGGAACAGTACAGGCTTTGACATGCTTCTCTTCATGACATCATAAAAAGATAAGCAATACCTGCTATAACTTGAGAGCTTTGTCATGTTTGATATAAAAGTTCCTTAAGTTGATGACGTGCTCGATTTCGACTGTTTTATTTTTGTGTTACGTGTGCGTTATGTAATAACTTATTATTGTATGAAGATTTCGGTTCATGTTTGATGCAAGAAATAACAGCATTTTTTCTGAGAACATATTATACAAATTCGAATCATACATTATGTATATGGAATTATGTATATTGCATATATTATATGTATGTCATAGAGCTTGCAGAGCCCCTGAAGATCCTGTTTTGTAAATGCCTGGATGAACAAATGGTCCCCAGTGAATGGAAAGTGGCTTATGTGAGTCCTATCTTCAAGAAGGGCGATCGTCACCCCACGAACATCTATAGACCGGTGAGCCTGACCAGCATAATATGTAAAGTACTTGAGAGTATTATCAGAGATGCCGCAATGGAACATCTACTACGAAACAACCTTGTAAAGGATTGCCAACACGGTTTTATGCCGGGGCGCTGCAGCTTAACACAACTGCTCAAGGTATTGGATATTTGGACCCATATTCTGGAACGGGGTGTTAATATCGACAATATTTACCTAGAATTTGCCAAGGCTTTCGACAGTGTATCTCATGAAGGGCTGAAAATCAAACTGGATGGGTACGGAATTCGGAGAAATGTCCTACCGTGGATAATTTCAATTTCAATTGTTTATTCCTTGATAGAGGAAGCGGGATCCTAGTGCTGTCACTAGGTACCCCTGTACAATGACACAAGAAGCATCTGGCAAGTGTCACAAGTATATACAGTATAACTATTATAAAGGGGCTTACTAAAGCCTAAGGAAGGAAGGATGTTCCTTTAACACATAATAATCAATGTTATTTACATAATATCTGGCCAGTATGGGGAGGATCATCGTGTCTCCGTCAGGGGGTCGTGGAGTGGTGGTCCAGCAGGCGTCACGGAAGCGTTGTGTGTGGGGACATCTTAGGAGGTAGTGGATAAGGGTGCGGCTGTCGGGTCTTCTGCATAATGCACAAGAACGTTGCTCAGGGGATGCGGGGATACCAATCTCCCAAGCAAAGTCATACCCAATGATGATACGGCAGCAATCACGTCCCCTTTCCGCGACCCTTTCCCATAGACATACGAGAGGTCAGGAAGTTTACGGAGGATATCGTACCAGGTGGGTGGGGATGCCTGCTTCCCGAGCTTCTCTCTGTTTGCGGCGAATTTGGGTCCTAAACTGTAAAAGTGTTCGAGGAACAACGTAGTCAGGTGTGGCCTTGTTGCAGCCAGTCTTGGCAAGGCCATCTGCTGCCTCATTCCCCAAGATACCGATATGACTGGGTATCCATAGGAATGTCACAGGACGGGCTGCATCCTGAAGTGTGGATGTTAACCCTCTTATTCGGAGGATGAGGTCCTTATTTTCCCCTAATCCAAATGCGATCCCGTCGAAAGCAGACCTGGAATCGCAGCAGACAAGCAAGGGGCAGATACCATCTGCTTCTTCCTCAGCGAGAAGGGCAGCAAGGAGGGCTATTAGTTCAGCCTGAGTGGAGGATGCCCTGTGAGAAACTCTGAGAGACAGTTTGATAGGCTCAGGGGCATCAGGACGGGAGATGTAGACACCAGCCCCGGCCCGACCTGTAGCGGGGTCAACAGAACCATCAGTGTAGAGGACGACCCTACCTGGGAACCAGTGGGCGATCCTGGAGAGGTGGTATTTGCAGAGAATAACAGGGTTCACCTGGGATTTCGGGAGCGGTCAACCAAGGGCAATCACTTCAGGTTGAAAATCCAGCCAGGGAGAAGGAGACGAACCAACAGCAGGGGTGACAACAATATCAGGCAGGAGGTCGTGTTCCCTCGCCACTGTCTTCTAGATGACTAACGTGGATAGAAGACTTTCTGTATGACCGCAAGCAGTGTGTGGTGATTAATGGCACGAAATCGTCATCCGTACCTGTCAAAAGTGGGGTACCACAGGGCAGTGTATTGGGCCCACTGTTGTTTGTTTGTCTCATAAATGACATGCCTGACGTTGTACACTCCTCCATACAAATGTTTGCTGATGACGTCAAGTTATTTCGGGAATTAAGAACCAAGCGGACTGTGAAGAGCTGCAGAAGGACCTCTGTGGACTCCAGGAATGGTCGAAGAAATAGCTGCTGAGATTCATTGCCACGAAGTGTAAGAGGATACATCTGGGGCGTACCAACGGTAAGGAGGCGTATCATATGTCCCAACAGGATGAAGAAACTGCACTAGTTGAGACTGAATGTGAGAAGGACCTAGGTGTGTATGTTGACAATGAGCTGAAGTTCTCGGGCCATTGCGAGAAGAAGGTAAACCAGGCAAATAATTTATTGGGTCTTATAAGAAGGTTGTACAGATATCTAGACGGTCCGTCCGTCGTAACGATCTTCAAGAGTGAAGTGCTTCCCCATCTGGAGTACTGTCACCCCGTCTGGTCCCCGAGATATGCTAGGGACTGTCAGTTGGTTGTAAATATTCAAAGGAGGGCCACCAGACTGGTGCCTGCACTTCGGCACCTCAGCTACCCTGAGAGATTGGAGCGCCAGAACTTGCCTAGCTTATACTAAAGACGGGCAAGGGGGGACCTAGTTGAGGTGTATAAGCATCTCAAGGGGCACTACTCAGTTGAGTGTCCTTACTTGGAGCTGGCGGACGCTCGCCTCACAAGGGGTCACAGCTCAAGATTGATGAATCCGCAAGTCCAGAAAACTGTGAGAGCAAACTTTTTCGGAGTGAGGGTTGTAAGCTCTTGGAACAATCTACCGGAGAGTGTTGTGACGGCACCGAGTGTGAGCTCTTTCAAGACAAGACTTGACCAACACTGGATAGGGTCCAGGTACATTCAGGAGCCGGTGTATGCCCAGTATTTGCCAACAGTGCGTGACAGAGACGTGGCCGATCGCCCGGGCGGCTAGCGAGTCGATCTTTTGGAGAAGAAGATAAATGAAAAGGAAAAGTAATCAGAGACGTGACCGATAGCCCAAGCGGCTAACGAGCCGATCAGTGGCGAAGAGGATGAAATTAAAGTCTTAGCTTGAGTTGACTGAATGTTATTCTATTCGAGATTAGACGGTACGTAATTCATGTGTATATTTTTGCTTTCAATATATATATATATATATATATATATATATATATATATATATATATATATATATATATATATATATCTTGATAAATCACACGGAAAATGGAAACAACGGAGTACTTTAGCTGTCTTATTCAAGACATCTTTCAGAGGCAACTGGATTACATGGACAGAGAGAGGCTTAAATATACAGGGTGACCTAAAAACATGAGGTCAGGTCAAAATGATGACATCCACTAATCCCCACACCAACACACACGTAGAGGAGCTCATGTTTTTAGGTCACCCTGTATATTTAAGCCTCTCTCTGTCCATGTAATCCAGTTGCCTCTGAAGATGTCTTGAATAAAGACGAAAGCTAAAGTACTCCGTTGTTTCCATTTTCCCGTGTGATTTTATCAAGATATATATATATATATATATATATATATATATATATATAATCCACAATGAAAACGTGGATAAGATAAATCTAGATAAAATCACACGGTCATTAGGCAGTGACCCTACTAATCTTCATAAGCACAGCAGCAGTCCGTAGTCAGGTCATGAAGTAAGATGACCCAACGAGTGAGCATTAACGGCACTAAATCCCATTGAAGCAACGTCACTACTGTCCTCTACAGTCTACTGTATATATTAGCCTTCTCAAGTATTTCTCCTTTGTCTGTACTCACCCCTGAAGATGTCATTTATAGGGAAGAGCTTGGGAACTTCGTGTTTTCTTGTTTCTTTGTGGTTATCAGCATATATATATATATGCAAGTAAATCACTGTAGGTGCAAGTTTGTAATTCATCTTCAGGTGAGTACTCCTGAAGATGTGGAATTACAATGAAAGCGCTGGGGAACTTAAAGTTTTCTTTTCCTTAGGAAAGAGAGATATATATATATATATATATAGAGGAAGTATATATATATATATATATTTATATATATATATGATATTATATGTAGTGATGATGGATGGTGTTATATGTAGTGATGATGATGTTATATGTAGTGATGATGGATGGTGTTATATGTAGTGATGATGGATGAAAGTTATATGTAGTGATGATGGATGATGGATGGTGACATGGATGATGTTATATGAAGATATAAATGGTAAGTTATATGTAGTGATGAAAAGAAAGTAGTGATGATGGATGGTGTTATATGTAGTGATGATGGATGGTGTTATATGTAGTGATGATGGGTGGTGTTATATGTAGTGATGTTTGATGGTGTTATATGTAGTGATGTTTGATGGTGTTATATGTAGTGATGATGGATGGTGTTATATGTAGTGATGATGGATGGTGTTATATGTAGTGATGATGGATGGTGTTATATGAAGTGATGATGGATGGTGTTATATGTAGTGATGATGGATGATGTTATATGTAGTGATGATGGATGATGTTATATGTAGTGATGATGGATGATGCTATATGAAGTGATGATGGATGTTGTTATATATATATATATATATATATATATATATATATATATATATATATATATATATATATATATATATATATATATGGAAGTAGCTAATACGTGGAAATGCTGAATGCTTAAAGTCGGTTAATG